AATCCAAAAATTTTACTTTTTAAAATATTAAATATCTTTTACTTTTCCTTTTAAAATAATTTTATATTTTAATATTTTAAGATATATATTTTATGGATTTAAAACAATATTTTTATTATGATTTTGAGTAAAATAATATTTTTAATAGACAATAATTTTTTGTTTTAAAAATGATATTGAATTTTAAAAAAAAATAATTTGAATTTTTAACTTAATTTTAATTTTTAAAAAACTATTTTCTATTAAAAACAAAAAATATAACTAATAAATTACATTATAACCAAAAATATAATTTTAAATTTAATATTTTATAAAATATATATGAAATTTATAAAATTTTGTAGATAGTTTTGTTCTTTATCCCTAAAATTTGAGAAAATTTTATTTTAGTCACTCATTTATTATGTGAAATACTAGTTGATGTCATTATGTGGTGCCAGTTAGTATTTGATATTATTTAGATGATTCCATAGATGAAAGAATCAAAATAAGATAACTTTAGACAATTAAGGATTTAATTAAAATTTTTTAAAATTTAGAGACAAAATAAAATTTGAATCAAAATTCAAAGATTACAAGTACTATTAACTCATGTTGAAAATATAAGAAGCAGTAAATTACTTTTAAAATTTTGAAAACTAAAATAGTATGCGACTTAAAATTTAAGGATCGTGGGGATAATTTACCCATAAAAACTAGATGAAACTATAAAAAAGAAAAAAGTTATAACCTTAACAATGGAGTTTTTATTTATTTATTTATTTATTTTGAAGATAGAGAATTAATGTCTCACTAACGTATTTTTTTAAAACTAATTAATTGATGAACCTAGAAAAGAGAGTTGAGGGTTGGAACGAATGTATAACAAGAATTCTTGGAATTCCTTGGGGATTCGTGATTGGTGCCGAGCTAACTATAGTGCAAAGTCGTATCTCTTTGGTTAATAAGATCCAAAAGGTTTATCGATCCCAGGGGGTGCAGATCCATAATAGGCATATAGAAATTATTGTACGTCAAATAACATCAAAAGTATTGGTTTCAGAAGATGGAATGTCTAATGTTTTTTTACCCGGGGAACTGATTGGATTATTGCGAGCGGAACGAACGGGGCGTGCTTTAGAAGAAGCGATTTGTTATCGAGCCGTCTTATTGGGAATAACGAGAGCATCTCTGAATACTCAAAGTTTTATATCCGAAGCAAGTTTTCAAGAAACTGCTCGAGTTTTAGCAAAAGCTGCTCTCCGGGGTCGTATCGATTGGTTGAAAGGCCTGAAAGAGAACGTTGTTCTAGGGGGTATGATACCCGCTGGTACCGGATTCAAAGGATTAGTGCACCGGTCACGGCAACATAACAACATTCTTTTGGAAACAAAAAAAAAAAAAGAATTTCTTCGGGGGAGAAATGAGAGATATTTTCTTCCACCACAGAGAATTATTTGACTCTTGCATTTCAAACAATTTACATGATACATCAAGCCGCTCTTTTATAGGTATAGGATTTAATGATTCTTAAGATAAGAGGAGTGGATTCGTCCTTTTAAGTATTTATTTTGTTGTGGTCATTTGATTTGTTAATTTGTTATGTTAATAGTAATAAAGAGAATAACGAATAGAAAGTAATGGCTTGGCTCGTGGATAAACGACCAATCCCCGGTAGAAGAGAAGGTTCCATTGGAACTATTATTTATTTCAGGGTGTCTTGTCTCTCTTTTTTTTAAGTAAAAAAAAAAAAGAGAGGAAGTGTGAAGAGAAATGGCAAGAAGATATTGGAACATAAATTTGGAAGAGATGCTGGAAGCAGGAGTTCATTTTGGTCATGGTACTAGGCAATGGAATCCTAGAATGGCGCCATATATCTCTGCAAAACGTAAGGGTATTCATATTACAAATCTGACTAGAACTGCTCGTTTTTTATCAGAAGCTTGTGATTTAGTTTTTGATGCAGCAAGTAAGGGAAAACAATTCTTAATTGTTGGTACCAAAAAGAAAAATAAAGCAGCTGATTCAGTGTCGCGGGCTGCAATAAGGGCTCGGTGTCATTATGTTAATAAAAAATGGCTCGGTGGTATGTTAACAAATTGGCCCACTACAGAAACAAGGCTTCGTAAGTTCAGGGACTTGAGAACAGAACAAAAGACGGGGAGACTCAATCGTCTTCCGAAAAGAGATGTAGTTATGTTAAAGAGATAATTATCTCGCTTTCAAACATATCTGAATGAGATTAAATATATGACGGGATTGCCTGATATTGTAATCATCGTTGATCAGCAAGAAGAATATACGGCTCTTCGAGAATGTATCACTTTGGGAATTCCAACAATTTGTTTAATCGATACAAATTGTGATCCCGATCTCGCAGATCTTTCGATTCCAGCAAATGATGACGCTATAGCTTCAATTCGATTAATTCTTAACAAATTAGTAGTCGCAATTTGTGAGGGTCGTTCTAGCTATATACGAAATCCTTGATTAATAATAAGATAAATAAATTATTTTTTGGAACTACATAGATCTATGGAATCGGTTACTATATCCTGAATCGAACAAAAGAGATAAAAAAACTGTGAATATTGTGTGATTAGTTTAGTCGGTGTCAAAAATCTAGAATTTGAGTAGGCAAGAGAAGATTGAATCAAAATAATTCCTTTTTTTTTTTTAAGTAAAGTTCTATTTCTGTCAGAGGGCAATATGAATGGTATATCATGTTCCATCAACGCACTAAACGGTTTATACGATATCTCTGGTGTGGAAGTAGGCCAACATTTCTATTGGCAAATAGGAGGTTTCCAAGTCCATGCTCAAGTACTTATTACTTCTTGGGTTGTAATTGCTATCTTATTAGGTTCCGCCGTTATCGCTGTTCGGAATCCACAAACCATTCCAACCGACGGTCAAAATTTCTTCGAATATGTTCTTGAATTCATTCGAGACGTGAGCAAAACTCAGATTGGAGAAGAATATGGTCCATGGGTTCCCTTTATTGGAACTATGTTTCTATTTATTTTTGTTTCTAACTGGTCGGGTGCTCTTTTACCTTGGAAAATCATACAATTACCTCATGGAGAGTTAGCCGCACCCACGAATGATATAAATACTACTGTTGCTTTAGCTTTACTCACGTCAGTAGCATATTTCTATGCGGGTCTTTCCAAAAAAGGATTAGGGTATTTCAGTAAATACATTCAACCAACTCCAATTCTTTTACCCATTAACATTTTAGAAGATTTCACAAAACCCCTATCACTTAGTTTTCGACTTTTCGGGAATATATTAGCTGATGAATTAGTAGTTGTTGTTCTTGTTTCTTTAGTACCTTCAGCCGTTCCTATACCTGTCATGTTCCTTGGATTATTTACAAGTGGGATTCAAGCTCTTATTTTTGCAACTTTAGCTGCGGCTTATATAGGCGAATCCATGGAGGGTCATCATTGACTAGTTTTTGTTTTTGAAATAGTCTAGCCTTTTTTTTTTTAGCTTAGCTTAGTCCAATGCAATGTATGCGCAACTCAAGATAATCTATTTACTTAGGGACCATAAATATACAAATACGACGGTCTAGAGTAATAACAAAAAAGATTATGATATTAGAGAATTGTAATAAAAAAAAAAGGAAAGAGATCTAATCTAACTTTTTCCTAAAATTTTGGTTTGGTCCATTTTTTTTTTATTTATATTTATATCCTATTTCCCTTCAATGAATATTATCTTTATATTGATATTGTTTTGGTTTATTCAATTTCAATATTATGAGTCCTAATTTGAATAGGAATTCTTATGGTATCAATTTAGGGTCTATGATTTAAAAAAAGCTGTTCTTTCTATAGAATGATTCCCATTTCAGTCGATTTCATTCAATGTAACGATTGACCAAAAGAAAATTTTAATAAATAATAAAATAAATTGCATGAACTTAGCTCAATCAAATATTGATATTGATTTTTTATTTTTATGCAATGATTTGGTCTAATGAATTCGTCTATTTATTTAGATTGTATCCGTGTGAGATAATGATAAATAAAAGGAAGGGACGAATTGACAAAAAACGATATAAAAAATGATTAGAAAAAAAAGGGGGGGTAGAATTAGGTATATGGAATCTAATGGCTATAAGCCAACTCTTGTCCATCCTTTGAGGAATAATTCTAGAATCCGATTGAATCTAAGATATGAATAGTTGGTTTACGTTATGTAAGAAACACATGTATATGGGATATTAGATATTGACTAGTTATATATGAACTCAAAATATATCTAATCCACCCTACTACTGTGGATTTAGATAGGGATTCCAATAGAAGAATAGAAGTTCTTCTGTTTCGTCTTTGACTCTGAATTGAATGAATAAAGAGATAAAATAAAGACAAAACGAAGAATTCAAAGCAAAGAATGGGTTAGAAAAAAAGAAATGGAAGAACAAAGTATGCGCGGATTCAAAAAAATCCAGTGGATAGGAACTAAAAAAAAGATATCGAAATAGTTCTGACGGTTCAATAATATTCTCACTTCCATTCGGAGTTCTTAGTTACTTGGGCAGGTTGAATCTTAGTGATGGAATAATATAATTAAGTAAAAATTCATTGGATGATTGTATCATTAACCATTTCTTTATTTATTAAATGTACATATATATATATATATATAACTTTCTAAAATTAATTGTGGAATTTAAAAACTAATAGTATACATAAAATAGTAATCCAAATCAAAACTTGAAACTAACCATTATGATCCTGCACAATTGCCACACCATTCCCTTTTTATCTTATTTTCCATTGAATCCAGCATCCTAGAAACGATTGTCACTATGGATACATCAGGGACTGGAGATCTGCAAATGATTCAATCTAAATATTATATTTAATTATAAAACAGCACTTGGATAGCATCCTGTGCGTTCAAGATAAATTAAATTCCACTTTAACCTTCAGATTTAATGATCTTCTAATGCGGTATTAACACTCCCTAAGTCCCAACTAGTTAGTAGACAAAAAGTCCCATTGGTTGTGGGGAGTCCTCACTGAAGCTGCGCTTTATGACTGGGCCTGTAAGGGTCCAATCATAATACGGCATGCACGGCGCATCCAAACGAAGCTTAGGTATGCTTGAATTGAGTCTTATGAAACTCTAATTCTATCAAAACCTAATAGAATGTTGGATACTGAAGATCTTGGAATAGGCCTGCTTTATACTCGACTGGTGAAGATTTGAGATTCTCAAAGGATTGTTGCCCAGACATAGTAGAGGGGATACAAGGTTGGATTCTTCAAAGAAATTTTCTCTATGAGAATGAAGATCAAAGTCCTCAGGAGAAACCATTGTGAGTAAAATATGAGGGCTAGAAATAGATGTGATATTCAGAAGGGTATATGGAGTAAACAAAGCGTCAGAGCATCTATATAGCGGTCCCAAGTTCAAATCTCACTAACTTTATAATCTGCAAGCACAAGCAGATATGGTAACACACAATGAAATAAAACAAAATATGAGTATTTAAAAGAAAGGAACAACTTAAGAACAAGGAAAAATTATAGGAATAGTTATAAAAGCTATAACCCCATCTACAAGTGGAGGTACTCAAGTAAAAAATATATATATATCAATCAACAAATGTTTAATAACGATACCAAGTCAACTAATATGTTCCTGTGCTGATTACATAGATGGAATGACAACTTTTGTAAAGCTCTCATCATCCCTATCAAAAAATTAAACCAATTCAACACCAACTTTTAGGATTTTCTAATATGGTACAAACACTCCCAAATACTATCTTAGTCCCTGAAGTTCAAATTTGAATCTTTTGGAACTCTAGTTCTACCAAAATCTAATAGTATGTTTAATTTGATAGATCCTGAAGAATTACCATTAAATCTTGGAGTAGGCATCTTCTATGCTCTTTGATTAGTGGAGATTTGAGATTCCGGAAGAATTAGGGCCAGGGCCAGCATGTAGTAGAGGGCAATGAAGCTTGGATTCTTCAAAACAAATTTTCTCCCTGGAAATGAACAAAGTTCTTGAGAGAATCATTGTGAGCAAAACAGAAGGACCAGACATGGTATTCATAAGGGATGAGTAACAAATCCAAGAAGCAACCTTAAGAGGTCTCAAATCTCAATTTCAAATCTCCATATCCTCAATTGCACATACAAGATTCCACACATTTGAATACATCAATAAATTAAAATAAGAAAAAAAAAAGTAACTTTTACAGATGAAAAAGAAAAGGAAAGAGAACAAGTCTAGGAAAAGTAAACGAAAACAATAAGCCATCAATGAATGGAGGTACTCAAGGCAATATGTTTCAACTTTCAAGCTACAAATATATACCAAGTAAAATGTTGTAGAAATCCGGTGCCTAAATATAATTAAAACCACAAACTTTTGAAGCTCGAAGCAGATACTTCTCAGTATTTGACTACATGTTAGCTATGTGAAAGCTAGCTTGCATCTCAATGACAAGTAGGAATCTTCAAATAGATCCATCGCATGAAAGTATCCTAAGTGCAATAATGATAAAAAACAGCCTGTAGAAATTGTTGAGAATGGAAATGTGCTATAAGCAATAGAATGGAATTTATATACTAATACCAATGAGACCGTGTCTAAATGGTAAGGAGGTGGTTTTGGGACCTTTAGGTCCCACGTCCAAATCCCCACCATGTATCTGCTTGCATATCTAATCTTGACAAAGACAAAAAAGGAAAAAAAATCCATTATTTTAGCTCAATCCTCTGTTTATCATGGATTCAATTTACTCCCCAGTCCACTAACAATACTTTGAATATATATATATATATATATATATATATATATCAGTGTAAAACTTTTTACTTGTATATGTTTTTCTAACCATTGATTTTGATAGATCTAAAAGATGAAATTAAAACATTTTTTCTCTTTTTGACTTGTTTCTCTCATCCTTTGGATCTATTGAAATTAATAGTTAGAAGAAAGTGTAAAACTAAAAAGTTTTACACTAGTGTAAATTGATCCCTCCTCTCACTATATATAAAGACAAACACAACTTAATCTTTTGTTCTTCAAAGCAACATAAAGCCCCCCATATCCATAAGTAAATAATTGTAAACATGAATGCCAGTTATTATTACTAAGAACACACCGAGGAAACAACTGGATCAACGAGGAAATTGATCCTAAAGAAGACAGGAACATATTTGTTGGATCAGTCACCAAGATCCTAATCCACAAAAGTAAGGTTCTTGAAAATACACTCAGCTAAAGTTAGACAAAAACATTAATAAAAATTAGAAGTTTCATCAGCACTTACAATGTTTGACCAATCGATTCCAAATCACCAGCTTTCAACATTTCCTCATTGAATGAGTGGCGGTGAAGTTGACGAGTGAAACTGCTTGTTGTGTCCAAGAAATAGAGAAGAAATGACATCATGCAGCAGCATAAAAACATGGGAATGGGCCCAAAGATCCAAAGCAATAGGGGGAAGGATAAGTAAAAGGCTCGCAGTCCAAGTGACCAGAAAAAACTTCCTCTATTTAAGTTTCTTGCAACGTACTCAACAGACTCCATATTGTCTATCGATGAGGGGAGAGTAACCAAGAAGCTTACATGGGCATAGTATCTAATAGACTGCACATTGCAAAGAAAGGCAACAAGGAAACACAGCAAGATGGAAAAATACTTGATTGAAGAGAGTAGAGGACTCTTATTGCCATAAACTATTTCTGAAGTTGCATTGCCAGAGTCTGAGCTGCTGCTAACAAAAACACTAATCAGTGAACTAAGAGTAATTGCTATTGTTGCCAAAAGTGTAGATGCCATTATGTTGTTGCGTATTGTTTGTACTGCCAAAACACCATTTTTCAATGGATCCTGAAACATCAAAGACGGAGGCAATATCATGATTAGTTCATGGACCATTCTAGACACAAACAATGAAGATAGTATCTCTTTTTGCTAACAAGTACACTGACATCTAGAGAAAAAGAAAACGTTTCTGCAATAGGTACTATCATGAATACATTCTTGTATCCATTATGCCAGTTAATTGTTTTAGATTAATTCAAAAAGCCAACCCCAGTACCCCACCTCACCCCAGCCTCCTATCAAAGATGTTGGTAACTAGGAAAAGTGTCCTCTTCATCAGTAAAAATAAGTAAAACATGAATTTGTGGTCTTTTAGCATTTCATTGCTTGAGATCTCCTTCTGCCACTATCTGATTCAAAATTCTGAATACCAGTTCTTGGCTTGTTTCATTTGCTTATTGTCACTTTGTTAATTGAAAAAAAAAAAATTAAGCCACATTATGCACAGCAGATCTTCACCACTAGTAGTTGTATTCCAGTTTTAGCAAGAAGATTTTACCAGTCAGCCTAATTCCTCTTGTTTTCTTGGCCACTAAGTAACTGCAAAAGCAAATTCCTCCGTCGTAGCACTCTCTTATTGCAGACATTGAGCCCTAAAAAGAATATTTCTACATGGTGCATGTGAACAGAGAAAACCGATAACCACTGAATATCCCAAAAGGACATTGGCAATGTTCCAAAACTACAGACAAATGCCTACAAAACATTCTCATTATGCTACATTTGATTACTGCAAAAATTCAGACACGACAAGGATGCTGCATTCTTTTAACAAAAGATCTACAATTTATCATCTTAAGCTCATTAAAATAGTGAAAACAAAATGGCATGTCTAGATTTGGGAGATGTCTGTTTCTCCAATCTCCCGAGAACCTCGACTTTCTTATAGCAGCTCAGAATTATTGATTAGTTCATTTCATGAAACCCCAGCATTAATAGCATCAACATTGAGCATTATTATTTGATCTATCTAGTCTTATTATTTTAGGCCCCATATAGTTTGTTACTTTTGCTACTTGCTTTTTGCCTCTAGAAGCAAAAGGAAAAGAGTGTAATTGCACCTTTATAATTAAAATGCATAGTAAGTAGCAAAAGTAACAATCAAACACAAACCTTGATTCTAACATGTTCTTTACATAGAGAAAAAACTTAAATAGTTCTCTGTTACTCATAGCAAGATATATTGTCAGCCCTTCGGTCGCTTCAACTTGTAGAAAATTTTCTATACTACTTTATATCAGAGTGAAATGGCATGTTAAGAAGTAATCCTAATAAGAATCCAATTCCCTTCAACATTCAGATATATTGTGCAGCCTTTATGACCATGGATGGGCTACTTAATTATTAATGAAAAAGTTACAACAACAGACCATGCAGGAAAAAACAAGAGTCCTTGCAATTTCTTGTTGTGGCTTCTATTTATATCACAAAAAAAAAAAAAAAAATGAAGGGCAACCATCCTCGTACTCAAGCCAGCTTAACAAGAGGGTAGCAAGCTGCAAGTATATGCAAAGCATCAACTATACAAATCGAGCCAATAGAAGGAAACAAACAATATGCCTAACCAGTCATTGGCTCATCAATCTCTAACCAACTTTGGTCAACCAAATCAAGGGACACTAGAAATTATCAACCACAAATAAAACAAATATATATATATATATATATATATAGTGAGAGAATCCGACTAAACCAATTCCATTGTTATTTACTTGCATTTCTTGTTTTTGTGATACCCAAAAAAAAAATCACTAAAACAAGAAATTTAAGCTGAACAAGCTACATCTTTTTCATTCTGAAGATTTGTATTGTATGTAATAGATCTGTCCACCTTCAATTCAAAAGTCAAATACTTCATTTCCTCAAGTCATAGAAGTCCTAAGAGCTCAATCACAGCAGAGATCCTCTACATGCTACTATCATTCCTAAGTCCTAACTGGTTTTCATCCATAGCTAGAGAAATTGCAAAACTTGCAAAAGAACCCATAACTCTAAAATAATTAGCAAAAATCATGGGGGAAAAAAGAAGAGAAAAATATAGAGATAGAGAGAGAGGCCTGACAGACATCATGGAGAAAACCCATTGGTGACGAGACTCGGCATTTAAGCCGATGATAGTCCTTGTAGGATGCTTGAGAATGGTAAATAGAAGCCAAACATGATAGAGAGCGAGCATCAGCAGCCCCAAAGGAGCCAGTAGGTAGTCCAACTTGTCTTCTTCCATGGCTTTTCAGTTTTCCTTTCTTCTGTCCTTTATCTTAAAGGGTTGAGGCTCAGACGGACAGTCAAAGAAGAAAAACCATTCTACAGCTTTATCGAAACTCTCCAAAAAAGAAAACCGAACAACATGACGGAACATGAAGGAAAGCCAAGCCCACGTAAAAACAAAATCTTCTCAATTATATTCAATAAAAAAAAAAAAATCATTGTTACTACCTTACTGAAATTGAAATGTCATCACCAGACCCCAGCACCGTCTTGCTATCTTTTTACTGTATATAGAAAATTATTTTGGAAAAGAAAAAAATACAGTAAATTTGAAGTTATTTTTTCTCCATGAAATAATTTATAATTTATTTTACAGTAGATATATATATATATATATATATGACAACGTGACAAGAAATACTAAAAATTGAGAGCTAAGTTTAAAAAAACAGTCAAAATGAACAAATAGTTAAAACAAAACACTAGTTATAGCATAATTGTCCGTAAAAAAGTATATAGTACAGTTTTATCAGTTAAAATAATCGTAAATTTTTACCTAAAGTCCATCAAAAATATTATTTATTTTTATAAACAACTGGAAATGAGCCAACGATGCCAGGGGTTCAAATTTTTTAACAATTAAAATGAATATTTTAAAATCATTTAAAATAATATATAGCTTATTTTATTTTTATTTTGATACAAATTTTAATAAAATTAAATTAAAATGTTATTTTACATCTCCAGTTTTTTGTTGTAAAATATATCAAAAAAAAAAAAGACAAAAAGTAAAATAAAGGAAAAAACAAGATGAGTGACATATGATACTTCAGTTAACTTCTTTTTCTCATTTACCTAATAAAAAACATAAAAACTAAAATTAAGAAAGAAAAAAATGAAAGGAAAAACAAGAAAACGAAAAAATGAAATAAGAACTTGGGGATGCAGATAGACACTCTGTTAAGTTTAAAATCCTAATTTCTTAAATTAAGTTATCAAACTTTTTTATTAAAAAAACATCTATTAAATCTAAATAAATTAAAATCCACCAAAAACAGATTGTTTTATCACCGTTAATTGATATTTATTGGTTTATTCTGTTATAAAATTCATGTAATTAAGAAATTTAAAAAAAACCAAAGACAAAAAAAAAAAAAAAAAAAGTGGAAAGGGTTGCCATGTGTGTATATTCGTTGACTTTTTTTCAAAATTTAATCTAATTTAAAAACGACAAAAATAAAAAAATCAAAGTTGAGTTTTTTCCTTTTCTTTATTCTTAAAAAAATAAATTAAAATTAAATATAACTAATAAAATAACATTAAATATAAATAAAAAAATAAAGTAATAACACTTAACATCTTACAGGAGTTTCATACATATGCAAGATTTATCTTTTAAATTAAATGGATATTTGTGTTGTCGCAAGTCAAAATTTTTTTATTTTAAATAAAAATGATCGGTTAAATAAATTAAATAATTAATAAATGAAAAAAAAAAACAGAATTAATATACAACATATTTTGTAATAAGAAAATAAAATATCATACAAACAAATGAATAATAAATCAACAACTGAAAATGATATTGCATAAAATAAGATTTTAATATTTTTTTTTAAATTTACATATTTTTAGGTTAGTAAATCCAGACTTAAATTATTATTCTTTCAAAATTAGAAAAAAAAAAAAAAGAAGCTAATGTGTGATGCATCTAAAATAAGCAAGTTAAATAGCAATAATAGAATGCAAACTATGTATTTAAACTAATTGAAAGCATTACATTGTTAAAAGATTATTAAATACCTTTAATTTATCTAATAAAAACAGGATGTCTTCTAAAACTCATTTTTTAGAAAGTAATAAAATGTTATACACTCCGAGCTACAGTGCTTTTTTTCAGCAGGTCATTTTCTTGTGCGCCTTCCAATTTATTTCACACATCTCTAAATGCACCATGCCCTTCTAATATTTTTCTTTTTAACCTCTCTTTTTGAGCTTCCTTTTCTCTCATAAAAGTCAGACCTTTCCTTTCTATGTGATTTTCGACCGTAAAAAATGATGGTGTCAACCGCCATCCATTGCTGGCGCCAGGTTTTTTTCAACTAAAAAAATTCACAACTTCACTCGACCTCCTCTTCACCCTTTCGACTTTAAATTTTGTAAAAACTATCCCTAAAATTATAAAGCTTCAAATAGAACCGCGACAAAAGCATCCCGAAGGCGTTAGTCCTTGCCACTCCAAGTGGAATAGCCTTTCGATATATTCCTTTCCTTCACGTATTTCTTCTCTTCACCCATTTGTGAGTCCCGAAACCTCTTTAATCTTCCCAAAGCCGAAACCCACAAACCTCTATTTAGCTTTCTTCTTTTTTTTTTTTTCTTGTGTGGCTTCCGTACCTAGAATGAGGTAAGTAACTTTAGCTAGTTTTTTTTTTTTTTTTAATTTTGATGGTGACTGTTTGGTGACTTTTAGGTAGGGAGTAGAAAGTGGTGGTGACAATGGGGTTATGACACTGCGTAGAAAGTGATTCTCGGCAAGCTGCGGTCAACAATAATGAAAGACAACCGACGACAGAAAAGAGTCGAAAGACCAGTTGTGCACCAAAACGGTGCATCTAAGGAAAAAGGGAGAAAGAAATCAGAGGGAAAAAACAAAAAATTTATTCATCAGGAGGCGCCATATCAATTTAGAATGGTTAAAATCTGGTCAACAATACTATGAATGGATTCTAAATGCTTTTCACTTCCAAAAGTAAAATATTATAAACAACAAATTCGCCAATCGAATAAGGTCCAGAGCTTTCAATTAGTACCCTTGATAAAAATAAATAAATAAATAAATAATGGATTCTCAATTCGAATTATTAACATAAAATATCAAAACATAATTATTGGTATCATTGGCAATGATTGCTCTTGCATTATTAAAAAAAGGTCAAACAATAAAACATCTGCTCGAGAGCTCAACTGGTATTTAGCAACTAGGTTTCCAGCTTCTCGTCTACATTTCATTTACAAAAAGTCAAAGCTAGATTTTTTAAAAACTCAAAATTTCTTTATTTAACTATAAATCTTAACAGTTACAAAGAGGATGGAAGGTACTAAAGCGAAGAATTAACTTCATTAATCATACATAAAACCTTTCTCACGCCACCTTCACTAACCCCTTTACCCACTTTTATCAGAAGCCTTCCCCAAGGAAGTAAAGTTCAATCTGCAAATTACAAAGACAAGCATATGAAGCTCAATTGTGTCAAGCCAAACAACTAACGAGTGTGTATTTTTACTAAACAAGAGTAATTGCAATTACCTTATTAGTGGCTTCCTCTGAACCACAGGCGCAGATGGGATTGATATGGATGCAGTAAGTTCCACAGGCTATACATATGAAAACCAATAACAGTCAGAATTGCTCCATCCTTTCTGAGCTACAAACATTACAATTGGATCTTGCATAAATTCTGAGATTGGCAAAGAGGTAAAGCAACATTTATGCACAACAAAAGTATTCTAGGTTACAGAGCCTAGTGCAGCTTGTTTTGGTTGAACCAGTTTTATTTACAAGCTTATCTATAATTGCATATTTTGAAAACTAGTCACAAGTTTGTTCCAATCACCAGTCAAAGGAAGTCTTCCAATTTGTTCTCTCAATCAAATGTGCATCTTGCTTTCTAAAGCAGCATTAAAATAATGCTTGAACATAGATAGTCTAGAAATTAGTGCCTAAAAGGTTTTATTTATCAGAAAGGGAAGAAAATTTTTCAGGCACAGTGGTAAACTTAACCTTATATATTAGCAAAGAGAAAGGAAAAGCAAACAGTGAACAAGAAAATTTTAAGCCAATATACAGATAACCATTCCCAAAAATAAGAAGCATAGCTCAAGTAAATATAACCAAAAAAAGAATCATAACGGGGATATTACCAATGTAATAAAAGCAAGAAATAAAGAGCTTCTTGAAACTAGTAATAACTGACAAGGATAGCAGAAACAACCTCTAACTCCTCTATACCCCAGCTAGCAAGTAAACTGGTGGAAGGACCAGCTCCATTGCTTGATGGTACTAGAGCTGCTCCTGCTGAATCTGGCATTGAAGATTCCACGAGGCCACTATTAGTGTTCCCCACAAATCTGACCTGGTTCCTAAATTCTAGATCATCTTCAAGCTCTTCAAGTTCTTGTGGAAAAGCTTGGTGGGAGACGTATGGACCAGACATTATTTTCTCAATTGCCAACTTCTCTGCCTCTTTAGAGCTTGATGCATCAGCAGTCACAATAAAACCCTTATTTGAAGGAACACATCTAAGTGATCCATCAACCTCACCATTATGAGAAGAAAGCTCTTCCACACTTCTTGAACTTATTAAGCCATTCGTCATATTGTTCTCAGCTTTTTCCCTTGTTGGTTCAGTCAATCCTGTTGCATTTGAATGGTCACCTTTCGTGGAACAAGAACTCACAGCGCTGACAGGACTACCCACATGAACTTCTGGACTAGAAGAAGGCACAGCATTAACATATTTGGTGTTTCTCAATTGAGCATCTGCATTGTCATCTACCCTCTTCCTCTTCTTTCCATCATCCTGTCCATCCGCAACTCCTTTAACTTCACCCTGCTTGTCTGATCCAGCATGGCCAGAAGCTTTTGTATCCAATACCCGTCTACTATCCCAGGTTACTTTAGATGGACGAAGGGGCCGGATACCACCAGGAAATACAAAGTTAGGTATGTTCCTACGTTTTACATGGGTTACCCGGATTTCCATTCCAGGCTTCCACAAAGTGTACACATTAACAGAGTGTTTAAACTCCTCAACAGTTAACCTTATATCAAATTGTTCACCTTCATTTACTGGAACTCCTTGTTTGCGTTGCAAACCCATAAAGTAACTGCAATGGAAGGGCCTAGATCTGTCTTGAAAATCACCAGGATGTGGATGGCACTGAAGCATGTTATACGTGTATCTTTCAATCTAGATTTACAAAATAAACAATTGAAAATTAGGATTATTACAGATTAGAAGCATAAAAAAGACAAAAAAAGGGGGGTAGGGCATAGAAAACCATTTCAGCATCAATTTGTCAGAGGTGGTCGGGGAAATTTTTAAAAAGGGTATATCTAGAACTCTGATATGATGCCCCTTCTTGTACGGGAGAAAAAAATTGTCTAGAAAAGGAAAGTCTGTTTCACCTTCAACGTAAGTTGACGGAGACGGGACTCAACCCAGCCTTTCCACTTTCTCAAATCATCAGCATTTTCTGCAGAGATGTCTATTTGTAGATAATTCTTGTAGGCTTCAAAGAAAGCATGAGGCTCAAAAAGGGTATCCCAGTCAGCTTTGTTTGCCTCCATAGCCTGCAAGCACTAACAAATGTCAACAACGAATTCAAAGTGTAAAAGATAACATAAAATCAAGAAATATATAAATTATTAAACAGCAGAGTACAGAGAGAATCACATAACAGTGATGTTTATAGTCCTTTTGGAAACAAGGATTGGATAGTCAAGGATTTTGATTTCAGCTCTGAACAAAGTCTTAAGTTGGGAAGTCATTCAAAACCGCATGGACTTAAATCTGGGCCAAATCTGCTAGGATTATAAAAGCCCAAATATTAAAATTTCAAAAAAATTCTTTGGCTTGGAATTGGAGAAATCCATCAAATTAAAATTCTTCTTCCCAGTTCAAATCAAACCTAAGCCATCAAAACAATATATTTGAATTTGTTTTAAGATTCTGGATTTCACTAACTTCCAAACAGGGGGTATCCAAATTCTAGTTGCCCAACAAACCTTTAAAAAAGTTCATCATGAATTGAGGTATTATCACACACACACACATACACACACTAAAATCTTATCAACAATCATGAGCATTCAAAAGATATATTGTAAAGAAAGAAATAACAAGACTACCACTCCACCTAGAAACTGCTTTGAAACTCACACAACTGAGAACATTGATACCAAACCCCAAATCATGAGCTGTAACAAAAGGAAATATCGCTATGAAAAAAACTCATAGCTCTTAGAAATGCACTAGAGCATTTCGCTAAGTGCATGTGTCCCCTGCTCAAAGAATTGGATTTGAAAACCCCTTCTTTCCCAAATAACAGAGAGAGAGAGAGAGAGAATAACCAAAAAAACCTCACACAATTACCAAAAAGAAGAAGTAAAATTGAAGGAGTATATAAAGCTTTCTTCCCCTAAATGCTCCCCATTGCTCCCTTTTTTTCTGGTAAAGCCAATATCTTAAGAGCCAAATCCTTGACCGGACATATCCTATTAAAGAGTAAATTACACAGAAATGCCCCAAGTTTGAGCCTAATTCAGCATAAGGACTCTAGTTTAGCAAATATACAACCTGCCCCAACTAATGGCATTAATAGAAATTGTAGCATTACTTAGGCTCTATTTGGTTGTCGCTTTGCATTTTTCTTTTGGAAGCAAAAAAGAAAAAAGCATGTGCGGATACAAAAGCAGATAAAATTTTTGAAGGATTATTCATAAAACTATAATTTTAAGATGATAAAATGCATGATTCTACACTTATACAGACTAATTATGTTGTATTTAGAGTTACATTTCAAATTTTTTTGCATTTTAAATTAATTGTGATATTACGTTTTACCATTTCCTTTTGCTTTACAACCATTATTCAAAGAGCAACTAGCAAAAGCTACAATCAAATGGTGCCTTAGATCTAATATCCATGTCAGGTTTTGTAAAAAAAACAATATCATAACTTTTATTTGTCTAAACAATAATGTCAATTAACATATTTATATGAAAATAAAAAGCTCATCAAGCATTTTTTTCTGATACAAGATCAAACATTTATGCTAATTCGATTTTTTTAATTTTTACTATTTTTTAATTTCTCCTTTCTCTAATTTTCTTCTCTCCAGTCTCTATCTCCCCCTTTGCCTCCCTCCAACACCAACATCTTCTCCCATTCCAGCTTGACATCCAAATAGTCAAACACATAGCTCATACTCTCTAGATAAGGTCCCAAACTCAAAAATCTAAACACCTCTCCGCTTGAAACAAACTTCACTCTCTCTCCCCTCAGTCTCTCCCTCTCCACCTTATATAACCATCCAATAGGTATCCATGAAAATGCTACAAAGAAGCTTATACACTACATTTTGAAATTTTGTGCAAGTTTTTTGTATGCTTTTGGGGTTTATTGGTAAAATAATGCACTACATTGAAGGGATGATCTTATACTGATCAAAATAAAACAACAAAGAGGAAAGAAAAGATCAGACATTAACCATAAGACCATACCTCACAAATTTCACTACCCCTCTGAAATTCATCTGTCATTATTCGCAAAGTACTCGATGACACATTGTAACTAGAATTCATGGAAGGATAAGCAGGAGTAATTATGGGCATCAAATGATATCTATCTTTTGGATTTTTTCGGGGATCCCAAACTTGAAGACCAAGAGATCCTTCCTCGATAGCACAAAGCATGACTGGGTTTGGCCAACGCCACTGGGTATAAACCCTAAAAAATCGAGAAACTAACATATTGGGCAGAGCATTAGGGTATAGCTGGCATATACGAGCAACAAGCAATGCCCAGTTTATACCACCAAGAAAACCAGCAACCTGCCAAAAACAAAAAGGATTAGTTTTTTTTTTTTTTAAATAGGAAACAGGGAGATCTAGTGCATAGCCTTGCCAAACATGAAAAGCATCTCATACATTAGAATAAACACCACGACGTTTTGCCCAAAACCTCATGCATCTCAAAGTTGTCCGGAAATTCTGCATGTCACATAGCAGAAACATAATCAAGTCAAGAACCTCTGTGAGGAAGAAAATCTGTATGTACACAATTCACGGTGATTGCCACAACCTGAATATTTGGAACCAACCGTAAAATTTGGTCAGTGACTCTGCAACCATTAAGACTCCGAACTGTCTGCTCATCCGTATTTTGTAATATAGAGTCTTGTGAAATATCTAAGTCCTGCAGTAGAATTTACACAAGTCATGAGAATTTTCAGATACATTTTGATTAAAAAAAAAGGGTTACAATATAATGAATTTTAAGTTTAACAAAAAAAAAAGGTAGCTATGCAAAGAATTAATGCACAAAATATCATCTCTCCCTAGGCTATCATCAAAGCTCGGTCAAAAATGCACCTGTTTTCCCTCAGAATTTCTCAAAACAGCACAGCTCTAATGACCATCATTACTAGTTATCAAATTTTAAAGAGGTTACAATCTAATGTTCTAGGTTGTTCTTTTTATTGTGTCAAAGTAGAGTATATATATTATCTATTGCATCTAATCATGCATGCTTGTCGCAGGATGGTCCATTGCTTCTTGGATCTCTACTTAAATCTTGATATGAAGAATCAAACAATTCTAACAATTTGCAAAAGCTTGCGTAACGTATGTTACACCCTGCCCTTCACCCTATCCAGTCTACTGCAGGCATTAAAATCCTTTAACGTCTGCAGTTTAATGAAGGCAAACCTCATTGATAGGTACAGGCTTGTTCCCTAAATCATGCAGGGTTGAAAAATGATGGTTATTCACTGGGAATCAGGTCCAACTCAGGGTTGGAACTGATTTTGGAGGCAAAAAAGGGAAATTTTTCTTCATAGCCATTGGGTTCAAAATAAAGTGGAACTACCAGCTTTTATGTTTGAACTTAAAGAGTAAGTCCATCTGTAGTGGGTTGATTGATCACTTTGTACTTAGATGATTGCTCTAATGTGAATCCCCTACAATAGGCACATCCCTTATGATAGAATTTGTGCCATAAAATTCATAACGGAAGTAGACCTGAGGCTTTGTTTAGATTCTTTTCACAAGCATACCTGCAAGCTGAAGCAACCTCCAAACTACCAGGGGACCTAATGCATCAAATTCCTCCATGATTATTTAAAGCATTTCTACTTTAATTATGCTAACTACTGCTCTCACTATACATGACAAAAGGAAAGCAAAACAAAAGAACAAAGTAAACTACATGCAAAAAAATGTAAATATAAGGAAGGTAGGCCACCTCTAATGCTTTATAAAGAATTGGATGTCATCATTTACAAAATAAAAGATTGACATAACCCATCTAGCAGTGACTCAACCTCCACAACCAACCTAACACTGCGTCCAAACATTAAAGGCCCAAATTGCTCAAACTAAAACCTTCAGTGGAAACAGTAACAAGTTTCATCAGTTAAATATTCTTCTAAATCTCTAGCAGCGAATTACTACAATAATTCTTAAAATAGAAGATAATAAAATGGAGTAGATATAATTAAAGGCAGACACTAGACAAACCAGCACTTACTTCAGGAATAACCCAAAGCGAGAGTTTTGCATAAAGAAGATCTATGGAAACTCCTTTGAATTTGAATTTCATGACTGGGACATGAGCATCAGGCACAGGATGCAATTCTGATACTTCAGGCATCTCTGATAGCATCTTGTGTAGCTCACCAAAGAAATCCTCCTATATCCAAACATATATAAGCATTTTTGTTGGTAAATCAACACTTTCTCAAATGAAAGAAAAACTGTTGCAAATAAGCATAGAAAGATCTCATCGCACTTCTCGTGTTGCATGTCTAGGTCCCACACAAAGTGTATCTATATCTGCACCAGGGCCATGCACCTGCTTTCAAAAAAATTAATGGAAGCATGACAAACTAGAACTCCAAATTGAAAGCAATAAGGTGGAGAAATCATGTACTTGAAGGCATGATTATGAAGTTTGCTGAACCATTAAACTACGAAGGGCTATAGAAATCAATCAGAAAACAACTTTAACTCAAAAGAAGTAAAAACTAGACAAAATCCTAGAATATTCTAAATCTCACCAAATTAGAAATACACCTACTATGCAGGAATGTCAAAGATTACAAGCCTGCTATAGAACTTAACATCCTCAACTGATAAAATAAAACCCTAAACAGCAATGGCTGAATTCACACAATGAAGAAAAATAAAATTGTTCTTCCACAAAACCCTGTATTGTTTCACAAATGAAATATATAGCAGAAAGAGCAAGTAAACTGCATAAAAGATTCTCTTGCCCATAAAAGCTGAAACACCCAGTTCAATGTAATAGTCAACTTCTGTATAAATGACCAAGAATTCCAAAGACAGATGATATCAGCAAGCAATATAAACAAATATGATAAGCTTCTTTCTTTGCGGAAATTTCAAGCAAACACAAGCTCACATCAATAGTGGCTTGAAGATACCACCTCCACCTCATTAACAGCTAGCAACATTGTTTTCCCATTTCCAAAATTTAGAATAAATCCATTAGATTCCAATGCTTTTCTCTTTATAACTTACAGTACTGCAACTAAAGTGAAATCAAAGGTTAAAACACAAATAAAGCAACAAAAATAAGAATGCAACCATACCCCTAAACGATAAGAACCGAAGGTGAATATCTTAGCATTTGCTTCTTGAACCAATTGCTCATTCAAACCTCTTGCACGGCTTATTGCTTTAATCCAATTCTTCACAATCTATTTAATTGACATCAACAACAACAAAATCATAATAAATCACCAGAAACCGATAACACAAACCCGCATTTGATAATCAAGCAAGAAATAGAAGTACCATACCAAGTAAGTCTACTTCAAATCATTAAGAGACACAGTTATGTACCAACCTGGTCTAGCCTCCCCAGTACTTCCTCTCGACTAACAGCCTCCTCTTGACTCTCATACAATCCCACATTTTGCAAATACTGAAGGTCCAAAATTCCCAAAAAAAAAGAAAAAAACAAAAGAATTAAAGATAATCTCAAATCCAATAACATCAAAAAAGAATTTTCTAAACGACATACAACAGTGAAAATGCGGCTAAAAAGAAACCTTTTCCAGCTCTCGGGTTTTAATCACATCGTAGTCAGTCGGTCCACCCAACGAAATAGGTTCCGTGATACCTAATTTTTGCCCACTGTTTCTATTTCCCAATCCAGGACTCCCCATTGTTCTTAATTTTTACAATTTCTTTCTTTTTCTCACTCCGACTCTCACTTTTTTTTTTGGCAACCAATAACAATTAATCAAAATTTTATTGATAATACTTTTTTCACAATTTTTGTTTTTCTTTTCTTCCTAAGATACATAAAATAAAAAGGAATAAATGGAGAGGTAAGAATCAAATAATTGCTGATTGTAGAGTATTAGGTAGGATACAACCAAAACTGAAACTGAAATTACAAAAGAAAAAGTTAATCTTTTTTTTTCTTATAATAAGACTATTAAGGAAAGATTACAACACCAAAATTAGGCTCCAATTGAAAAGTAACTCTAACCCTAAAGGGAAGGAAAAACAAGCATAGAAACCAAAAACAAAATGCAATTAAAAATCCGAACTTTCGAGAATTTTAAGGTCGACGCCTTTTATAGTCGACCATGCCGATGGTGATGTTAACGTTGTTGTTCTTCGTTGGCCATGACGATTGAAAAAAAAATCCCCAAAAAGTCTCCAGTAGAAAAAATATAGAACCCTGCAAACCAAAAAAAAAAAAAAAAGTAAGAGAAAATTTGGATTCAGACAAGGGAAATTTTAGAGACTCAGGAAGAGACAGAGAGTTTACAGGATTTTGTGATTAATGATTATTGTGGAAAATTGTTTGATATCGTAAATTTTCTTTCTAATGTAGAGGGAAGAACGAATAGCGTAGAGGTTAGAAACGTTTGGCTTTGGGCTTTATTTATTTTTCTCTTGTCCCAAACAGGTGATGGCTGTGGAAAAAGAACGGGCAAAATAGATAATTAAAATATATTTTTTTAAAAATAAATTAAAATCTTATTAAATGAGGTGTTCTAAATACACCATAAAATTTTTTTATATACTTTTTAAATTTTTTTTTAAAATATTTTCATATTAAATACCAATCTTAACCTTTAATAAATTATAAAAATACCATCAATAACTTATAAACTTAATCTTTTTTCTTTTTTAGAATTCAACGACGGAAAGAATTATATTATATTATATTTTCGAAAATAAATTTTTACAAAAATATTTTTGAAAATAAATTTTTGATAATGCAAAAGCATTTTCAAAAATGGATTTATGAGAATGCAATGTAAATCTTAAAAATTTATTTTCGAAAATGTAATGTAATTTTCAAAATTTTCAAAACTTATATTGCATTCTCGAAAATAGATTTTTGATTTTTATATTGCATTCTTAAGATTTTGTTTTCGAAAATACATAAATATATTTAATATTAAAATAAATAATACATTTAATTTTAATTTAAATAAAATAATTTTATTGAGATAATAAAATAAAATAAATTTATTTAATCTTAAAATAAATAAAACAAATTTGAGAATATTAAAAATAAGTTCTCAAACAAGCATGGGTGGAAAGGGTTAAGTCATCGATGTGCCCATTCTTGCTTGATCATTTATGCAAATGAAAAAGACATGTGAGTTCTCAAGTATATATCGGTATAAAGGTGTTTTTGTCTTGAAACCAAAAAACGAATAACACTCTTTTATCCATACAAAACTAGAAAATCAGAAAAATAGAAAATACTATTCTTGGTTTTTTGGAGTCCTAAAAGAAAAAGTAAGTTTGTGTCATGCATGCTTGAAAACACTTATTTCAGTTTTATTTGCTCACATGATCAAGTAAATTAGTTCATAAGCGCATATGTTTTCAATTAAGTCCCTTTTGAACAGGCTCATAGTACAAGGATATGCATGATTAAGGTTAAGAAATTCACTTTCAAAAGTAAAATCAAACTTTTCAAAAATGAATATTCAAGAAGCTTTAAGGTCTATCGGAAAGGGATATCCAATAAGTTTTAAGGCTTCTCAGAATCTTATACTTATCGAATATCTATTTTCGATAAACTCGATTTCAAAAAATGAAGAAAGAAGAATAAAGAAATGGTGGGAATGGAAAATAAAAAGTGAATGGTAAGGGTTATTTAGTAGAAATATGAAATTGAGTTTAAATTTTTGGTGCATTTAGAAATAGAGTACATAGAGTAACAAATAGGATATAAATAGAATTCTCATTATTAAATTAACTCTTCTATTTTCACCATCATAATTTTAATTATCTTCCAATGTATGTCTAACATTTATGCTAAGGACACAAAGATTAAAGTGGTGATATTGAAAAAAAATGATACTTATGAAATTAATAGTTGTATGTGAAATTAAAATACTATTTGGACGAATGATAAAATTAAAAAAAATGAAAATAATGACATGAATTATCTTAGTAATGAGATTACAATTGTAATTATGATATTAAAATTAGTAATAAAATATATATGTTTGATAAAAATAATAATAGTTGTGAGAGGAATATAAAAAATGATCATTAAATACATTACTTTAAAATTTTATTAATAAATTATATTTATTAATATTTTAATATTATTTATATTTTTTGAAGATTTTTTCAATCAAAATGAGGACACATTATTTTATTTTAAAATAATATTTAGGATTTAAGTGATAAAAAAATTATAATTACATGTGGCAAATATAAAATAATAATTTATTCATTTACATTATCTTTCAACTTTCTATTTCTATTTCTATTTATATTATAATTTTTTTATTACCAATCTGTATTTTAATTTATTTATGATTTTAAGTGATAAAATATTTATAATTACATACAAAAAGACAAAATAATAATTTATATATTTATATATATTAGCTTTTTAACTTTCTTTTTTTGTTTATAGTATAATATTTTTTTATTACCAATATAATAATTTACTTATTAAGCTATTCATTTATTTTTAGATATATATATATAAAGGTAAAATTGAAAAAACATTAAAAGGTTACGAGTATTTAAAAAAATTAAATATTTATGGACACAATTAAAAAACACTAAAACGGTATTTGATTTGTAAAATTTTAGATTCTGAAAGAGAAAGTGATATTTGAGAAAGTATTGATTCCTAATAAAGAATGATTTTTCATGGCATTGGATTGTTAGATTCTTATATTTGGTTGGAGAAAACTCAAATTACTTAATAAAAGCATTTTTATTATAATGTCCTTTACTACATAACAAACACAATATATTTATCAAATATAAAAGCAATGTTTGACCAAAATAATATGAAGTCAAATATTGACAAATATGTATATCTTTAATCAAATAATAAAAAAATTTCACAATTATGCATTTCAAGCCTAAAAATGCAATATTCGAGTGAAAATTATATAAAAAAAAAGACTCAAATATTGCATTTATCTTTTAAGAGATGCAACAAATAATCTACAATTGCTGTATTTCAAATACTCAAAACTTTTTTTTAATGAAAAAATTAAAAAAAAAATACTCAAATACTACGTTTAATTTCTAAGAAACACAATAAATAATTCATAATTATTATGTTTCAAAGCATCGAAAAAATAATTGAGTGGAAAATAAAAAAATAATCTCAAATACTACGTTTCTATTAAAAGAAAAGTAGTAAATAGTCACTTTAACATCATATTTTAGTTGACTAATTTCATCTTTCTTTCCAAAACCTAACCCTGAACTGCCAACACTGTGCCCACCATCAACTTGACGAAGACTTTGATAGTTTTGATTCTAATCTAAAAGCTACTTGACTAAGATTTCTTACTAATTCTTCAAGTTTATGTAATAAAACTTCGTGGGGATTAAAATCAAGTGAACTAGGGTCAGTTCATGGTGAGGAATCTGATCATTTCAATGCTTGTTTTGGATTGAGACAAAGTTTAAGTCTACAAAAGCTATAGAAAGTGGTGAAGTAAAAATGAAAAGAAAAAAGAAGAGAAAAAACCTACCTTTGTTAGGATTTGCCATTTGAAAGGAAAAGCGTGAAAACCTTTTTGATTCAATGTTTTGCCATTATAAATCAAAACCTATATAAGTAGCAGATCTTGTATTTTTTTTAAAATTTTCAAAATTATGATAGTTTTTATAATTTACAAAAATATTTCATATTTTAATTTTTTATAAATTTTGAAAGTTTTTATAAAATTTTATAATTTTTCTTAAATTTTTGGAATTTTTTAGATTTGTTTAGAATTTTTAAAATTTTTGAGAAATTTTTTAAAAATTTTGAATACGAAAAAAGTTTTAAAAATTCTTTTTAGTATTTTTTCAATATTTTTAAATTAAAATTTTTTATAAAATTTAAAAAATTTTAAATTTTTTTAAATTTTTTGTCATAAAATTTTAAAACTTTTTAGAATTAAAAAAAGTTTAGAATTTTTAAAATTTTTTTTAATATTTTTAATATTTTTTTACACTTTTTTTACTTTTTTAAATTTTAAAAAAGTTTTAAAATTTTTTTAATATTTTAAGAATTATTTAAAATTTTTAGAATTTTTTAATCTTTAAAAAAATTTTAAATTTTTTAAAAAAAACTTAGATTTTTTAGAATTTAAAAAAAATTTAATTTTTTTTTAAATTTTCTTTTAAATATGACGTGGGCATAATGTGACATTGATGATGTAGCGTTAATTAGACTTTTGAATCAGGTGTCAACATCTTATTAAGTATTCATGCTACATCAATAAAGTTAACTAACTTCATTAGTAAAACATATCAATGCGATAACGATTTGAAAGTTTAAGTAGCAACATGAAAAAAAAAATCATTAGAGATCAATGTGACAAAAAAGTTTAACTTTGTGGAGAATAATCGAATCTCTATAAATTCTTGTGTTTGATTTCTTTATCCCTATATCTTTATTTTGATTATAGTTCATATTTGCTTATAATTCATCAATTCATTATTGTTTGCATCATATTTTGATATTGATTTTAATGTTCATCCAATTATATTGAAATCATTTATTTGAAAAGAATTTAAAAAAATCTAATTCACCATTCTCTTGGATCATCATCTCACCTATAAAGCTAACATAAACAATTTTAGTAGAAGGGTATTTTCATAATTATGACATAAGAATATTATAGTAATTTGTCATTTATAATATGATATTTTTATTATTTAAGACATTAAAGGTATTATAGTAATTTAACATTTATAAGAGGGATATAGTAATTTTAACCAATTATGGTATAAAAGATATTTTCATAATTATAATATAAAAATATTATAGTAATTTATCATTTATAAAAGAAGTATTTTCATCATTTAAGATATAAAGGTATTATAATGATTTGACATTTATAAGGGGGATATTTGTCATTTAAGAATGGAAGGGCGTATAGTAGTTTATCATTTAAAAAAAGGATTTTTTTTCTCATTTATATTGAATGGGCATTGTCATCTTTTTAAACTAAGTGTCAACAATTAACAAAAAATTAAAAGGCAAATTTGTCATTTTCCTATAGGTTACTTTCATTAAATAGTTATAAATATATATTATATTACAACAAATATTTGATAAAGTTTGCCACATATACGTTTATGTGAACAATTTTTTTAAATGACATATAAGATAGATTAATGAATATATATTTTTTTAATTACAAATTGGATAATTTTGAATTTATTTAAATATCAAAATTATTTAAATTTTAATTACAAGCCAAATCAATTTAGAGATATGTTTTTTAAAATTAAAAATTTTAAAAAATATATAACCAAAATTAATTTTCTAATAATTCAAAAATATATATATTTAAATATATGATTCTTTGATCTTTCAAAAATTAATCAAAATAGAATAAAATATTTAAAATGATTATTATCCAAAATTAGTTTTCTAATAATTTTAGCATATAAATATATTTAATATATATTTTTTTATCTTCTAAAATTTAATTTTCCTAATAATTTTATAGTATTTATCAAATAAATAAATGTATTTAAAAATTATTTGTTATCTAGAATTAATTTTCTAATTTAGATATATATAATTTAAATATATCTTTTATCTTTTAATATTATTTTTTTAATAATTTAGATATATTTCTTTTAAATTTAAAATATCAAATTTAGTTTTATTTTAATAGATTTCAGAATAATATTTTATCATTCAAAAAAGATTAAATTTACTCTCTTGATAGTTTTATATATATATATATATATATATATATATTAAAAATAACTCATTCTTTAACATAAATTTTTTTTAATGTTTATAGTCCATTTGGAATGCGTACTCCCTGTTGGCGAGGTGCAATTATCATTGTGAAATCCAAACAATGTGATGGTGTGTTTTCATTTTCTTCTGTTTTTTTTCTCCATTTTTCTCCTTAAACTTTAACAACTTTTAACTTTGCTTTTTTTTTCTTTTGATTTTTTATTGAAAAATTATAAAGTGATTTAGTTAATTTAATATAAAAATGAATTTTATTATATAATAAATTAATAAATAAAATTTATTATTATATAATAAACTAATAAATAATTTTAATTATTTATTAATAAAAATATTATTTGATTTAAAAACAATTTAATAAAAAATTAATTATTTATTAATTTTATAAATATTAAATATTTTAACATTTTTATTACATACAATTTTTAATCAATATTTTTAATGATTTTTTTATTATAATTCACCTCATCACTATCACTTTTTTTTATATTCAAACACATATCCCACTATTAATGTTCATCTAACTGCTATAGTAATAAATCTCATATTTACCGTTATTTTTAATCTCAATAGAACTAATCTTACAATCCATTCAAATGGACCATTTGTTTTTTACCTTTATTTGCCCTTCCTCTTCTTTCTATATTATAAAGTGTAAGTTTCATAAGTATTTATTTTAGGTGTTTATGATAGGTTATTTATCTTTAACTTTGATTCTTTTTTTTTTCTTTTGTATATGTTTAATGTAAGTTATATTTTTTAACTTTTGATTCTTTTTTTTTTTATATATATTATAAAATGTAAAGTTATAATAACATTTATTTTTATGTTTTGTAGGTGTTGTACATAGGTTATTTATCTTTACCTTTAACTTTTCACTCAATTAGAAAAATTTTTTCTCTCGCTTTAACTTCTACATTTTTACAATAATTTTAAATCTACTTATAACCCACCTATGGTAATGTTTTTTTTATTATGATATAAAAACAAACAAAAGTTAATTATTATGAAAAATCCACCAAGTCATGAACACATTCTTTAGACCACATACATACCTATACAATCTTATTTTCTTGTACTGCACTTGCAGTAACGGATAATTTCTAATTTTATAGTATTTATTAAGCAAATAAAAATATTTAAAAATTATTAGTTATTCAAAATTAATTTTTTAATAATTTACATGTATATAATCTGACATATATCTTTTTAATGCATAAAATTAATTTTCTAATAATTTTATGGGATTTATCACATAAATAAAATTATTTTAAAATTATTAGTTATCCAAAAGTAATTTTTAAATATTATATATATAGTTTAAATATATATCTTTTTATCTTATAAAATTAATTAATTAAATAAAAATATTTAAAAATTTTAAGTTATCCAAAATTATTTTTCTAATAATTTATATATAATTTAAATATGTATCTTTTTATCTTTTAAAATTAATTTACTAATATTTTTATGGTATTTATCAAAATAAATAAAAGTATTAAAAATTATTAGTTACCCAAAATTAATTTTCTAATAATTTAGATATATATAAGTGAAATATATATCTTTTATCTTTTCAAATAATTTTTTAAATAATTTAGATATCTATATTTTTAAATTTAAAAATATCAAATTTAGTTTTATTTTAATAAATTTCATGATAATCGTTTATTATTCAAAAAGTCAAAATTTAATCTCTTGATAATTTATATTATATATGTATCTTTTAAAAATAAGTCATTATTTAACATAAATTTTATTTGATGTTTAGTTCTCCACCTCTGTTTGCACATTTTTTTTCATGTATTATAAAGTATAAGTTATATAAGTAATTTTTGTCTTTTGTAGATGTTTATGATAGGTCATTTGTCTTTAATTTTGATTCTTTTTTTTTTGATATATTACAAAGTGTAAAGTTATAGTAACATTTATTTTTATTTTTTTAAGTGTTGTATGTAGATATTTTATCTTTATCTTTGACTCTTTGTTCAATCAACTTAATTCAACTTTAACTTATTTTTTTCAATCTTTGTAAATCTGCTTAATTTTAACTCACCTATGGTAATTTTTTTATTATGATATACAAATGAATAAGAAAATAAACTTAAAAAATTTGTTTTAGTATCAGGGACGAGTAAATCACTCGCTAGACCGCAAATTAAATCTACTAAAAAAAGCATGATTTCAATAAAGATTGAAAAAAAATTAAAACAATGCTAAAGATAATTAAGATATTTAGTGTGTTTTTGGTTCATGAAAATATCTTTGTTTATTATTTTCATTTTCATAAAAAATAGAAAATGGGTGAAAAAAACTTATTTGGTTGAAAAAAATTCAGTTTTATAGAAAATGAAAATTAAAATAGACTAAATTTAGAGAATTAAAAAAAGTTGTTTTCAATGTTTTCAATGAAAACATTTGATAGAAACGAAAAAGATGAAAATAAGGGAATTAAAATTTTTTTTTTCAATCTCGGGACAAAGGACCCAATTTCAAATAGGTTGGTCCACAAAATTTTTTATTGCCTTTTGTCTTTCTTTTTATTCTTTCTTCCCTTTCTTGGTTTTCTGGCTTTTCTTCTTTAATTATTGTTTCTTCCTTCTCCTATTTTCCTCTTTATTTGGGCGCCTATCGAACCAGCCAACGTCGTTGATGAAGCTAATTTGTTGGCTATAACATGGACCTTTCCCTTCCCTTCCCTGTCACACCCCTTTTTGCCTCCATTCAAATAGCCACACTTCATTCTCACCTCTTCCTCCATTCAACAAATATTTTTGTATCAACAAATCATCAACAAAACAATGGAAAAATGCAGTACCAAACACATTTTCACAATTTTCATTTTTTTGGAAAGAAATTTTATTTTTTGTACCAGACATGTGTTCTAACATTCAAGAAATAAAAAATAAAACTGTTTTAAAAAAAATGAAAACAAAAAATATTTTCATTAACCAACCGTAATTTTAACTTTTCAATTTCAATTTTTTCTTTTGGGTTAGAGTTAGAGTTACTGTTTTAATTTTACAAATTTGATATTATATTTCATTGTGGTGTGGAAGGTTGGGCTTGTGCAATATTGGTTAAGTTGTGCATTAAGTGTTCTATACGATTCTATACTCTTCTTATTGTATTACATTTCATTCCTAAGTATAATTAAATTTTTATCTTATCACAATAAATTCTCGTTTTGTTTCTAAATTTGAGCAAAAAATATACATATATGATATATATTATTGCAAATAAAGATTGTTCAAAGTGAAGACATGCTATTTTCTTTTTCTTTTTTTTTTCAAAAAATTTAGTTTTTATGATAAGTCGGTCAAATATATAAATTTTATATGTTATAAATTTTGAAAATTTGAATATAATTTTAAAAAAATATATTAATTTATATGTATATACACATATTAAATAAATAAAATTATTTCATGAATTTTACGGGTCACAATCTAGTTTAATAAGAATTTACTTAGAAAGGAAAAAAAAAATTGGCTTTTCCAAAGATGACAAGTATCATCCATGTAGAAACTTGTAGATAAAAATAACATATTGTTAGATAATAAATATATGATTTTCATTTATTTAAAATTTTTTATAATTATTTGAATTTATTTCTCAAGCTAGAAAAATATATATGCATATATTATTTTTCAAGATATTCTCCCCATTGTTTTACAAAACTTGTTAAATCGAAAATCTTTGAAAATGTCACTAAAATTTTCAATATTTTTCAAATTTTGGGAATTTTTAAAGTAATATGAATAAAATCATTAACCCTAAATTTAACATTAAAAATACATGTGTACAACACAATTTATATATGTAACAAATAACAAAGAAGTATTATACTCAAATCTATTTAAATATTAGTTTAAGTTTAATATTATTATCCAAATCTGAATCCAATTAAATAAACACTATCTATTTAAATATTTGAATTTATTAAATTATCTGTTTGTTTAAATTTTTATTAAAATATAAAATAAAAAAGAATTAAATTTAAAATTTAAATTCACTATTAATTAATAACAAATAAAAGTTATTTGTTAATGTTCAAAATCTTTTACAAATATAAAATTTTACATATTATATATATATATATATAACATATTCGAATATAAATTTGAATATCTATTATTATTCATTAAAATTTAAACAGATTTGAATATTAGATATTTAAGGATAATATTTGTGTGTTGTCTGAATATGTTACAAATAATAAATCTATTATATAATTTCATTAATTATTTATTTATAATTATTTAAATCTAGTATAAATAAATCACATAATGACCAATATTCATTTAGAAAAAAGTGTCAACTGCTTTCTAACCAAGGCAAAACCATGCGATGACTATTACACCAAACCCTTTTGGCTTTGCTACTTTTGTTTTTTTGAAATTGGCTTTACTTTTTTGTTTTCATTACATCACTATTTCTTTAACTTGCCCCAATTACCCTCGTTCTGTTTTCCGTTTCATTTGACATTTAGCCATTGCCTTTACCCTTCACATTTATCACCACCCAAAGCGGCCATCTTTGCCCTATCTGAGCCAGAATGAGTGAAATAGCCAACTCAAACATCCAAACAGAGGGCTCAAATTCCGAACCCAACCTCAAGCGCCAACCTGAACTTGACGATGAGAGCTCCGATTCTGCGGCAAAGAAGCCCAAAATGCAAACTTCAACAGTTCAAGAAGAAGAAGAAAAAGAAAAGTCATTGGAGATAGAAGCTGACGTGGCAGAGGATAAAGGGTCCAGGCACACCATGGAGGATGCTTGGGTTATCATGCTCGATGCTAACTTGAATTCTCCTGGAAAATTAAGGTTTTTATTTTATCTCGATGAACCTCAAATTTAAGTTTTTTACATTTCTTAAGCTATAGAAGACAGTGGATGTTTTGAAAGAACAATAATCCTTCTTTTTTCTTTTGTAATTTTTTGGTGGGTTGGCAGATGTGGGCATTTTGCAATATACGATGGGCATGGAGGGCGGTTAGCGGCGGAGTATGCTCAGAAGCATTTGCACGCTAATGTTGTTTCTGCTGGCTTACCACGTGAGTTGGTGTGTTTTGCTTGGTCTAATTTTAAACATATTTGATTTTTCTGAGGCATTTCTTTATATTGAGGATTGACGAATGCTTGTTATATACAATGCTACTGGATTCATTGCTTAGCTAATTAAAGTTGGCAGTATATTGAGCTTATTATGAGTGCTTCATAGACAAGAGCCTTGGCTGCACTTTGTTTTACTGTTTATATGTGATAGTAAAGATTGTAACCAATTAGAAAACCTGCAACTGCTAATTTTACCATTTATTGTTCTTCGTGAATAGATGAAAGAATTTGAATTTGCATTTGGTTTTCTCATTACTTTTTTCCTTACTATTTATCTTTTCTTGTAAAATAATGCTAATTATCTGCCAACCTAAAAAGGAAACCACTATACTTCTGACAATTATTTGTGATGACTTGTTTAATGGTGCTTCTCCGCATTTCTTCTAGCTCTTTTGTTTTATAATTTGTTACCATTTCTCAGATTTTTCACAATGTGGTTCCTTATAATTTTATCATCTCGCATGTCTAGTTTATCCATCTTTATATATTCCATTGGGTGTCAGCAGGAACATGTCCTAGAGTAATTGATTTCTAAGTTATAGCCACCTCTTTCTTTTAGTAAATTAAAAAGGGTTTTCATTTCTTTGACCTCAAATGTAGTGGTTCAGTTAAAAAGTTCTCAATTATTCATGTCCCAGAAAATCTGACATTAACAATTGTCAGGAAAAGAACCGATCCCACCTAATAACTGTTTTCCTAGGGGTAGTTTTTCTGTAAGATGTTAGTAGAGGAAGAAGCTGAATTGGAAAATTGACAGTTTTTTCTTTTAAATCAAACATGTGCTGGAAGAATATTTTCTTACTTTTCGGTCTTTCACATTCTTTTATTTGCTACTTTTGAAAGCTATATTCCAACCTGACATCCTAGACAACTAAAGGGAGTAAACTTTTAACAGCTTGGAGTATGATATTTTCTGTTCTTTGCCTATAATCTGTGTACATATTTTCTTGGTACCTTTTTTACTTTAGCAATGTTAATGTTCTTGCATATGCTTCTAGTATTTGTGCTTGACATCATTTGCAGCTGACTGTTTACTGTTCTGTTTGACTTGCTTGGATTGTGTTGTAAATATTTTTTATCTCATTCTGTGCTATGATATTACAGTTAGATGTGAAAGCTGCCAAAAAGGCTATTCTTGATGGTATGTTACATTTTTCATCTCTCCTTGATAATATTTGATTTTATCATCTTTATTTTTTTTCCCTGCTTTTCTTTGTCCTTATTCATTTAAAATCTTTGTTTGCTCTCTTTGCTAATTTAGGTTTCCGGAAAACTGATGAGGCTTTACTTCAAGAAAGTTCTTCAGGTACCTATTATTAGCTATTTTATGCTGTCTTGTCATATGCCTCCATGCAGTAGCTAGCTTTTTTTTTTTTTTTTTTATAATCTTTTGAAGCAAAATAATTTGATTTCCTTTTGTGTGTTTCCTGCTGCATCAAGCTTAAAATGAAGTTAAGTTGGAGCAAGAGATAAATATTTATATCGTCAAGAAGTGCAGAACTCTTCAAACCCTCTGGCCCTTCCCTTTTTCTTTTTCTTTTTTACAAAAATCATTTATGAGACTATCATTCTGGAAAATGTGCATAAAAACAGATATGGAATCTCCTCTATATTGGGGTGAATGAGCTTCAGAATCACGTATGACTCTGTTCTTCCTAAAATGGTTGAAAAGCATATGAAAAATCCTTATAAAGTTTTTCCTCTGGCTCTCTCTTTCTTATTGGGCTTTCAAGATTATCCACATCCCAGTAAATGGTAATATTACAAAATAGAAAACTTAAACCTGAAGCACAAGCAAAAATACAAGGACAATTTATTCAGGATGATCTGTGATCTCTATTCAGAATATGTGATTATCAGTTATCTAGATTTAGAATGGCAGTGTTGACTGAACAAGCTGATCTATAGTTGTGTTACCTCCCAAATTAATTGGACTGCTCTTTGTGAGGGAGAAATATATTGTAGTTTAAAAATTAATGACACTATATACTGCCTTTAATGTGTTACTATTTTAATTGTGATTGCTGCTGCCAGGCCATAGTGATGCTTAATTTTGGAATTATCTCCAGTTTCCTGTTTTAAGTTCATCGGTTCCAAAATATGGTCTTACATTCTGTAATTGAAAATGAGAAAAAATAAAGAAAAAAATGTGAGGCAATGGAGCGGAAGTTTTTGTGATTTATTTTGTTGTTCCCCTTTATAAGTTTTCAATTATAAATTTTGGAATGAAAAGCCAACAACTTTATCTAGTTTGTTACAAATTTATGTTTACATGAAGGTTTTTTTCAATCTTATCAGGGGGATGGCAAGATGGTGCTACAGCTGTTTGTGTGTGGGTGATTGAAAAAACGGTAACCGTCGTCAATCTTGACTATGCTTGATTTGATAATTCTAAGATTTAACTAGATAATTTGGTTGGCTATACTTGAAAGTTGTGTGCTTATCATCACTTAGTTGGAATACTTTTAATTAACCTAGTTGAGGAACATTTTCGTTATGATTTTTGGTTCTGTTCTTGAACAATTCTTTTCTTTGAATATTATTGTATTCGGATGTACTTTTGATTAATCTATACTTTGCATCTCTTATAGACTTTATATAATTTAATACTGTGTAACTCGTAGGTTTTTGTTGCAAATATTGGGGATGCAAAAGCAGTAGTAGCAAGATCTGCTGATGCTTCTGATAAATCAAGTCCATTGAAGGGCATTGTTTTGACCAGGGAGCATAAAGCCATATATCCACAGGAACGTGCTCGCATTCAGAAGGTAAAGATTACACAGAGGGACAAAGCACACTACAATATCTTGATATTTGTGTGTTGGTGTTAAAGATTACTTGGTGGACAAACAACAGTACAATATCTCTTTGTGGGTGGGTGTGTAAGTGAAGATTGATGACATATATTTCTTTTGACTTTCCAAATCAATGATTCAAGTAGCATGTGACATGCACTAGATGCCTTTGGCTATCAGCTTCAATGATGAAGGATGGGTAATCGAGACTCGTATATTACTAACTTGCAAACCAGAAAAAAAAAATGAAAAGATGAAAGACAGTAGTATCAGACTTGTATTGTCGATATGGATGTCAGGTATAATGTTTTAGCATATGAACTGATGAAAGTTAATTATAAATAAGTGTGCCTTGTTAAGATACTTTTTCAGGCACATATAATTGTAGTTATGATCTAGACATGAGCTTAAGTTTTGACTTTGATTAGTCAACTGTACCTGTTTGAACAATAAAAGGTGGTCTTCCTTGAATATGGATGCAAATTTTGAATAGCCAAGTCAGTTGGAATGGAAGGTTTTATCAGTGCTAGGAGTGATTAATGTTTTTGATTTTTCCCTTGCATTAAGTACATATCTTAATCTTTTATGAAGCCTTAGCTTGCCGTCCTTTGAATTACAACTTTCTGCATGAAATTACATTTGTACAGGAGTCTACTTTGACTTGGTCAAAAGAACTAAAATGAGTCTCCTTTGATAAAAAAATGTTCGCATAAAGTACTTTAGTATCTGTAGGTATTTCTCGAAAATTTTGCAAATTAAAAAAATTCAGTCAGAAAGCACGAAACTAGATGGTCTTTGGCTGACATGAACACTATTTTCCTTCCTAATTTTTATATGGAACTGTGTGATGTAGGTTGATTAAGCACTATTGATATCACTTCAATGATAAAATTGATTCCTGGATTTTCTTCTGAAATTATGAGATATATATATATATATTTTGCCTGAGAGACATGCATAAATTAACATAATGCTTTCTTCCACTATTATCTCCAATGCATTTGGAAGATATCCTTTGTCTCTTGTTTGATGTATGATTAAAAGGGGCCAAAGGAAAAATAAATTAGAGGAAAGGAGTCTAAACATTATGTCAAAGTGCTCAGAGGGTAAAGAAAATGGCAAAAGTGGTTGGAGATGATGTTAGAAGAAAGAGATGCCAACAGATCTCATGCTTAGTTTGGTTTTATTTTGTTTTTGTTTCCTTTTTTGTGCTTTAAGGGGGAATAGAGCTAAAAACTATATATGTTTATATCTGGGTGATATTGTTTCAATCTATTTATCTCAAACCTTACATGTTTCTATACTCTTTTCCAGGCTGGTGGTACTGTAAGTTCTAATGGACGATTGCAGGGGCGCCTTGAAGTGTCTAGGGCATTTGGAGATCGCCAATTCAAAAAGGTTTCTGCTATTCTGATTTAGCAACAGTTTATACTGTGGTTTCACATATCTTTAAATTCTAGCCCAAACATATCATTATTTTGATAATTTTTAGATCCTTTTCAATTTCCTATTAAAGATATGAAATGTACTTCTCAGAAAAAGAAAAAAAAAAGGGTATGAAATGTACTCTGATTTGGTATCTTAAAGATGTAAACTGCAGGTTGGTGTTGTTGCTACTCCAGATATTCATTCTTTTGACCTTACAGATAGAGAACACTTTATTATTCTTGGTTGTGATGGCCTCTGGGGGGTATGTCTTGTTTTAGTTTCAACATCACCTGCCATGTAATATTATGGCCATTTATGTCTTCATCTTTTTTCAGTTATACCTTTCCCATAAGACAAATTTTTAATTGTTTAGGTATTTGGACCAAGTGATGCTGTTGAATTTGTTCAGAAGTTACTGAAGGTAGGGGATCATTCATCTTCTTTCCTTTGAGTAGAAATGGTATTTTCATGGAGAACTTGATTGAGTTGGCTATTCTATTGATGTCTCATTTTGAGTGTCTGGGAAGAGGATCTGCTCCATTGCATAATGGGCAAAATTTTAATTTATTTGCACCTGATCATAACTTCTTGCTCATTCATAATGCAGTTTATTATGATTATCTTGTCCGGTTTTTCATGTCTGATCTTAACTTCTTGCTCTTCCTGAAATATATTTTGCATGTTTGGCAGGAGGGTTTACCAGTTACAGCTATCAGTCGCCATATTGTAAGGGAAGCAGTTCGTGAGAGACGTTGTAGAGATAACTGCACTGCAATTATTATTGTTTTCAGGCACAAGTGATTCTAGTATTCAACAATTGTGGTTGTGGTTTTAAGGCATGCTTTCTTGCTGTTGGGGATCAATTCTACCTATTCTGAAGAGGTTTATTTCTTCTTTGATTGCACAAGCTGCAAAAAGAGTGTTTATTGGTTGATACTATGCCAAATCATTCAGTTTTGCTTTTCATGCTAGCTGAATTAGACTTTTTGACAAGTTGCTTTGGCTAGTTAGGCATTCAGTGCCCTGCTTAGTTGAATTGGCAAAATTTGTATCAATGTGTACGAAAGCTGTTAGACTTGTGTTCCTTTCTGTAAAAATTTGCAAGGTGACATTGATGTAACCTAGAAATCTGGACACCATTGTTGACAGCGTGTTTTACTAGAAAAAACTCTCTAAATCAGTGCAGTTAATTTTTGTTGTTCAAAGCCTCTCTGTGCTTGTATATGTAACCATTGTGGAATGGCATAACTCTGGAAATCTTACTTTATTTTGCCTAGTTGAATGAGAAGAAGTGTAGGGAAAACAGAAGAGAAGAAAGCTCATTATTATCCGATAATCACTCTAAAAACATGTGATCAAAGAAATTTTTATGCTAACGCCTATTTAAGGGTTTTTCAATTTCTTTTTCCTTTTGACATTCTGGGACAAGCTGCAGGAGCAAGGTTGGACAGAACTTACGTCCTCGTGTCTTCTATTATATGATCATGGTTTCTATTCTTATGAGGTATTATTCGTTTTGATTTTTTTAGTCTCATGATTTTGTTTCACAAAAGGTGAAGCCTTTCATGTTCGATGTGGGATTGAAATACTCTGTCTATTTCTCTTGAAATACTTGGCATGATATTTTTCTTTAGTTAATCTCATGACACTCTCGTCACAGAGACTGATTATCTTACCTACCTTCATTGAGGTATTTGATGTGGGTCGAACGGTTCAGAGTTTGCTCTATATCATTTATCACGGGTCAAAATTTAATTTCTAGGTTCGCACGGCTCCAGGATTCGAGCATACACTTATCCAACATCTTAAATTAGCCTAACGATTATGATTCATACCCTTATGAAATAATATCCGCTTTGGCTTTTTCTGTCCTCAAGATTTTGTCTCACAAAAAATTTTTCATAAGAAAGAAGTGGTGTAAACTCTTTTATAACTCAGTGATTCCCTTTTATGTCCGATATGAGATTGAAGTACTTTGCCTATTCCTTTTGGAGCGCTTGACATGACATTCTTCCTCACTTAATTTTGTGACTTTTTACACATCTTCACATTCTGTTTCAGTAATACACAAAGCCTATTCTAACATTTTGATGTGTTCTCTAACTTGCGTATTCCACATTTTCTTGTTCTTGTTTACTTGTACGATAGTTGTAAAAACTAAACTTAGACATATGGAGTTAATTTCAAGCCCTAAAGTTGCACTGATTCAGACTTAATTCTAAAGTCCATGATAATTGATATTAGAATCAGTTTTGAAGGTTACTAATGATGTGTCACCGAAGACAGTAAACCTTTGTTGAATTGAAAAAAAATGTCACGATTCTGAAATGAAATCAAAAATTTTACATGATTATGTATTAAAATTAGTCATAAAATATAAGGATTTACATTTTTTTTCTTGTAAAATATTTTTTATAAAATAAACTTACAAAATTAAAAAAATTAAAATACATAATAACTTATAAAAATATGAATTATGATAATTAAATTGATCTCATTAATCGTACGAACTTGAATATCGAGTCTCGAGACACTGATCGATGGATATTTCATCCCTTTTGCAAAAGTTTGTAAGATCTCTGCCCACTTGTGGTGGGTTTGTCTTTTTATAATGCTGAGATCTTCACGTGGCTATAATTGTACAACCCGTATTATTTGCTAGAAACACGACTCAAACCAAGTCTTTTGACGGCAGCAGCGTGTCTTGCGATGGCAAATGATGTGCCCATGGGACAACACCATGTTGCACAAATGATTGCATATATTCAAAGAGAAATGATTTATTTCATTTTCTCAATCCCTTAATTTATGGCAAAATGGATTAGTGTATCCGGACATCTCGAATATTCCCACCACCAATTCTCATGTACAAAGCTAAAAAAACGAGGTTCATGAATAGGGTTGGGATAACAACCATGCTAATCTCAGGTTCGATTTCCTATCTCTTAACTAAAATTTTCTAAGTCAGAAGTTGTTTTAGATGAGATTTTCCCCACTTTGTTTATTAATTGCAATACTGGTTTATGTTAGTACATTCCTATGAAAAAGTTGTTTCAGAAAACAATTTGTTTGGTCATAAATATAAGTCAATCAGAGGCGGATCCACCCTTTGAAATAGGATGTTTATGGACACCTCAAAAATTAAAAAATTAAAACTAATTTTTTCTCTGAACACCTCTCTCATCCACGAAATTGATAAATTTGTGGTAATTTAAACATATACTATAAATAGACATTCTAAAATTTTTTTTGGATCTGCCACTAAGTCAAATCGTCTATATCTTCAATAATTCGAGAACATTGGCCCGAAAAGGAAATCAATGGAGAACTGATTGGAGAGAGAGACATAGAAAATAAGGCTTAATGTTGCTATTTTTCTTCTCTGCCTGGTTTAGTTTTTAGTAACTGAAATGAAATTATGTATGAAAGACAAACATTTTCTTTTTGAACATAAACCTACAGCTATATATAAGGATAATTCTTTAATATGCGTATTATTAAGATTGCAGTTAGTATATATTAGTATCCAACAACCATATGTTGGGTGAATAAGGGGATGATGAGGTGAGGTCATAATCAACGGAAACAAATTCAAATTGGCCTCTTCCTCCTGCCAGGCCAACATGCTAAATCTCTGCTTTGTCTCCCCAACAAAAGTCAAAATATTTTTTAGCCAATAAGAAAATCAGACTGAGGTAGACTACATGCAACTCACAAGGCTCCTACTGCCATGAATACTATAAAAAATTACTTCTTATTATCACAACTACATGTGCTTTTGAGGCGGCGTGCTGCAAAAAATGGCTCTTTGTCCCATATGCATGTATATAAATCTGTCCACCTTTGCATTATGATCATACCTCAACCAGGGAGCAAACGTGGAAGGAGGTAGAAAACAATGGGAAAAGAGAGTATTGTTTCTGACAAAATGAAGCTCCTTCTTTCATTGGTTGCACTGCATTTCTGCTTTGCAGGATTCCATATTGTCTCCAGGATTGCACTAAACATTGGTGTCGGCAAATTAGTCTACCCAGTTTACAGGAACATTATTGCCTTGCTTTTGTTGAGTCCCTTTGCTTATTTCTTGGAAAAGTGAGTTCTTATTACTTGGGAAGACAATGAATAAAATGCCCTTGCTTTTGAGTCTCTTATTTCCTTTTAGAAGAAGGGTTAGCCTTCTGATTCTTGGACTGTTTGACATTATAGTATTTTTGTTAATTAATTTCAGGAAGGAAAGACCACCCCTTTTCCTTTGCTGAGTCAGTTCTTCCTTCTGGCATTACCGGGGTAAGGTGAAACATGAGCTACCATGAGCTGTTGATATAATTCTTTTTCCTCTTGTTATGACCTTATATTTTCTGTGTTTCTCAGAATTACTGCAAACCAGGGGTTTTACCTTTTGGGTTTATATTATGTATCTCCAATGTTTGCTTCAGCGATGCAAAACTCAGTTCCTGCAGTCACTTTTTTTATGGCTTCTGTTCTAAGGTAAATGGTTTCATAAACACTGGTAATGTTTCTGAAAGAAGGATTTTTCTTCTCTTGACCACCTCGTCATCCTCTTGCTCTTGTGCAGACTTGAGCAAATCAACATTGCAAGAAGAGATGGATTGGCAAAAGTGTTGGGAACTATTGCAAGTGTAGGTGGTGCCACTATAATCACTATCTACAAAGGTCCCCTTCTGTTGTATCAATCAAACACAACGCATGGATATTCCATGGAATATGAGATGTCCTCAAACAAAATGCAGAATTGGACTTGGGGATGCATTTACCTCCTTGGGCATTGCTTATCATGGGCTGGTTGGTTGGTTTTTCAGGTTAGCCCCTAGTTATCTGAACCAGATGTATATATTTTGCTTCTAAACTGCACTATATGTGTGTGTGTGTGTGTATGTCTATGTGGATGATTGTGCATAGCATACATGAAAAGAATGGCATAAAATCATTAGAAGTTCGTACAATTAGTGGTCTATACTTGATTTATTAAACTTAAACGATTTTTTCCTTGTTTGTTGCCTAATGTTGATTTTAAAAAATTTTGCAGGCTCCTATATTGAAGAAGTATCCAGCTAGGCTCACACTCACTTCATTTACATGCTTCTTCGGAGTGATCCAGTTCCTGGTTATAGTGGCATTTGTGGAAACAGACATCAATAATTGGAAAATCCAATCAATAGAAGAGCTTTTCACTGTCCTATATGCTGTAATAACTTCTTTTTCGGTGTTAAAGATTTTCATTTCTCAGTGTTATATCTAAAGATTGCACGTACGGGATGTAAATGTTCCGTTTCACATAATGTTGATCATGTAAACTTTTCCTTCTTTTCAGGGAGTTGTGGCATCCGGTATTGTGTTTTCCCTTCAGATATGGTGTATTCACAAAGGTGGCCCTGTTTTTGTAGCCATCTTCCAGCCCTTGCAGACACTTTTAGTTGCTATCATGGCTTTCATAATTCTTGGCGACCAATTATACTCTGGACGGTATGAAAAAATTCCCCCGAAACGGAACTAATTATCTTTGTTATCTATGCATTGGTTAGTTATGGATGAATTTTACCTATAGTTTCTAAACTTTTACTTCTCACTTTTTTTTTTGCCCCTGTAGTGTAATTGGAGCAGTTCTTATAATGGTAGGTCTTTACCTAGTACTGTGGGGTAAAACTGAGGAGCAAAATGTAGCAAGTGTAGCCAAAGATGAAGAGACATTGAAGAAGCACCTACTTAATAATCTCCAAAGTTGCGATGGAGAAGAGGGTGCTGATGAATCAAATACAGCATGATGTATTTATAGATTGATTTGTAGATCAAGGCAGTTCAGATACGAAAGAGATACCCAAAGGTTGATGGCAAATCATTGAGAGGATGCATCAAAGTCCCACCGTCGGAGATAAGATCAGCAGCTTAACATGTAATTAATCAAAGATGGTTTTTCTTTTCTAAATTTGCTTGAATATTGTCAGCTAAGTTGGCTTTAGCATGCAAAATGATTGGGGAAAGCCTATTCAATGGCTTTTATATTATTGCATTGTGATTTGATTGGTCAGCCATACATGCTGGAGTCATTGGATGTGAGACTTTATCTATTGTAAACTACTACTGATTCAGCCTTCTGTATATACCCAATGTGCTCGTCCTTTCCTGACTGTTCGATTCTAATTTAAATAGTTCTCTTCAAGCTCTCGACCGGCAGACTAGTAATGGTTTTGGAGAAGATGAAATGGATATGAACTTATGAAAGATAAAAGTCGAATGTTTGACAATTCAATACCAAAAAATGATCTTGTACTTTAGTAGGAAGTAGGGGACCTTTTTGTGAAGCAGGAACTGGATGCAGTGAGTTCTACATATTCGAATAAGGGAAATTTTATTTGCATCCCACTTTTGATTTTATGCACTCCATTTTTAAATATATCATAAATTTAAAACTCAATTTTATATTTTTACCAAATAGACCTCCATCCCTTACTTTCTATTTTTCATTCCTATCTTTTCTCTTTTCTTTTCTATTCATTTCCTAAAATTGAGTTTCTTGAAAATAAACATCCAAGAAGCTTTGAGATTTTTTGAAAATGAATATTTGAAAAACTTTAAGAATTCTAAAATATTCTCGAATATTTATTTTCAAGAATCTAAAGATTCTCGAAAATAAAACATTAGAGAAGACTCAAAGTTGTTTGGATATTCATTTTCAAGAAGTTTTGAGTATTTTTAGATATCTATTTTCGAGAAGTTTGATTTATTTTTAATCACTGAAAACCTTAATTATATGCTTATGAATCCATATACTTGATCATGTGTGCAAATGGAATTAAAATCGATATTCTCAACATGCATGGCATAAACTTGTTCCGTCTCTTAAGACTCTAAAAAACCAAAAAAAGATA